TGTATTAACTTGGGCCCTGTAGCTATTGGATAGATATCAGCTCTTCGAAGTGCAGCTTCGACAGTTATGCTGTTCCCAGTATCCCGATATAGACCCTAAGGCCAAACAAAGTCAGCACGGATAGTTCGATCGATCGATATGAGGAAGCGCTGAGTCGAGAACGTTGCTGCTTTAATTCCGGGAGTTGAGAATTTTAAAACCCGAGCCCCGGAAATAATAGCACCCCGACCTTGAGTCCGTAAGCCATATAAGCAAGCATACGCACGATCGATATCAGGAATTGAATCCCAGACGGCTATTCGATCACAAACCCTGAACATAGTAGATTCCCAGCGTCGATCTATATATAATCTATATATCTATAGAGCACCATAGTCCCGAACCCTCAAGATTAACCCAACCCCGGCCTCTAATCCCATATATATATATATATATATGCAACGTTGTAGCCATATAAAGTGCAGCGTCGAGTGGCTCCGTCCCTCTGGCATGTTGCCAGAATCGCTCCAGCTCCTGGGCATGTGATGTTATATGGCTATATGGAATCAGTCCAACTATCATTCAAGCATTCCACCCCGAAGCTTCTTAGCCCCGACACCATCGCTCCCCGAGTAAACCGCAACCCCGAACCCTATTTCTACTTCTGTGTCAGGGCCGACAGCTCCAAAGCTCCGATAGTAATCGAATCCGAAGTCTTGGGCCCGATATAAAGCTTTACACCCCCGATCTTTGAACCCCTGCATCCAAACTCTTCCAGGTCTGAAGCCTGACCCTAAGCCTTAACATATCACTCGAACCTAAATTGTGTACCTCCGACCTGGTCACCCGAAGCTCACTGTGGAACCCCTGCATCCAAACCCTTGAGTGCCTATACAGCATACCCGCAAGCAACCATAATTTGCATTATCCATGGTGCGGTAGAGGGACCCCCTCATATGGAAGGAGTGTCCAACATAGCGAGGATTCGCAATTATATCTTAATTAGGGTTTGGGCGATTAGGCTCATGCCATGCCAAGGCCATTTCGTTGCTTCACTTATAGCATGCTCGGAGCGTATGTTCGCATGTACGGCAGGGTAATGGACTCGATCAGTGTTTAAGATGTTTTCTCTGTTCACATATATAGGGCAGGATAAAGGGACTTAGTGTTTAGGATCCTTTCTATACAGAGTCCTCTATAGGGAACATTCCCCAACACAGAACTCGTATTATTATATAAAAGAATTAATCTCAACCGGCATGAGGTGCGACATCGAGGAGCTCGTGGCACTCTTGCTCCGGGCTATCTCCGGATTGGAAGGTCATGGGTCACGGGTTAATTTGCCAGTGGCTTAGGGCGAGATTCAGGGAACCACTATACCACGTTTAGCTCTAGCTTGTGCTCTGTTCCCCTAGAAATGTCTTGATCAGATTGCTTTCAAAACCAATAGTGCAGACGAGTCACTCCATCTTCTCCAAGAAAAAATTTCTTGAATCGATGTTCAGAATAATGATAAATCGTGTGTATCCTTAGCTGGTGTGGGGCACACGAGATCTGCCATGTGCCGCTTCAGTTGCAGGGAACGACTAGCAAGAACATTGCGGATTATTGCTTGACCGCGAGGCATCTCGTGAGGATAGAGCATATGCCATTTGCCCACATAGAATTCAGCCGTGGTCGGATTCTTGAGTGTGACCTCCACCCTTGGTTCGGATCAGATCATAAATTATCGGGGTCAGTAATTTCATTAGGGTTCGCCGGGGCATTCCTTATGGTTCCGGGGTTCAGACTTTGAGGGCTCGAGCTCCAGGGTGATCTATAGGGTTTAATGATCTTAGTTAAGGAAAACTGGTGGCTTAGAGTTTTGGGTGCAGGGTCCGTAGAAATTTCGAGGTCGAATACCGGTTTAGGAATATATAGCTTCGGTTAACATACAGCGCGACAAGACCGAATCTGAAGCCTCTTGCAAAGCACATCAATTAATGAGCATGTTAAATTTTGCATATAACTCCAAACCATGCAATCCCTCAAATTAAACCTCCAGACCCAGCCACGGCGACTAATACCGCTGCTATAAAAGCTGAATATTCTAACTGCCCCCGGATCATATATATATATATATACATGCAGGTCGACATGTCGACTGTATATATATATACACATATATATATATATATAATTTTTATACTAGATATATATATATATATATATATATATATATTCTTCCATGAAACCGGGATTCTCCCTGGGCTCCGGAAGGCCTTTCCGCCAGGGTTGCCGCTGCACCCAGCGCTGGAAATTGCGATATACATTCCTATCATCTTCATACGAAGCAAGATCGACGAGATTGCGCCTCGGCCAGGACGCACTAAAGATTCGCCTCAAACTAAAATCTGGACTTCCCACCGAGCAAACCAGCACACACACACACATCTTTGCGTTCCGGTCACGGGAGCATCAAATGAGGAATGCGACCGGCTATTTTGTCGCATACTTGCTTTATCTTCCGCGTCGTCAAATGCTCGGACAGCTCCAACAATTCTTCCACCAAGTCCATGATGACGAGGGGGTTCGGGGTCTATAGGATTTTAGAACTAAGGCTTATCCTCCTATGCATGCAGTTCTTCATGCTATTGCTTTGAGGGTTCGGGCTAGGATATATATATATATAGAGGATTTAAGGGTTTAAGCTCTCATCAGGGTTTGTCTATAGGGGTACACATGGGCTTCCGGGTGTTGGGTCTGGTGCTTTATTGTGAGATATTCCCATGTCATCAGATAGGGGAAAGTTACACATGTTAGACGGGAGTGATACGGATCCATGTTCACCAGGGCGCAGGGATTTGGCTGTGATTTTCGCTCTACCTGTCTAACAGACTCTGGCACTTCAGCTGTACAGGAACGACTTCTGTAGTGCGAGGTTTGATAAGCCTAGTTTCATGAATGTTCCTATATATATATATATGTAGCGGTGGGGACTCTAAGCTTGCGAACTATTGTCAGCTAGAAGGTGCACATGCATATGGCCAGCTGTCCATGAAAGCTTGTATATTTATAGTCCACGGGAATTGATTTGGATCCCTGCTCCTGAAAAGCTGCATGCGGGGAGCTCTGTGCTAAGACATGCAGGCATACTCATCCCAACAGACATCCAGCAGTCTGTAACATGCCCTAATCCGCAAAGGTCATTTCACCACGACTGCGATCCTCGGTGAAGCGCTTCACCGGTGCTGGAGACATGGCGGCCAGGGGCATGATTGAAGTACATATTCCAGCCTATAGGGCAACCTTATAATTAAGGTTTCAGGTTAATTATTAAACGTAATGCTCTAGACCAGATCGAGCTAGCTAGCCTGGGATGGCATGCCAACAGCCACGATTGCAGAGTTATTCGCATAACAACACCCAGACTGCTCAGTCAGAAGCCTATGGATAGGTTCCACAGGCCCCGGGGATATGCCGACCAGGAGTTTGTATTTGAGTTAGGCCGATAGCCTATAGAAGATCATGCACCCTATACGATCGAGCTTCAAACTCCTGGATAGCAACCCAACAGCCATGACTGCAGAGTCCGTGCAGTGTCCTCAAAACACCGGCCCAGACATCTGATCGGCTTGTAGCTATAATATTTATATTTATATATATATATATATATATACATAAATATAAGACCGAATAACATCATTGGCATATCCTACCCCTCCCAACCTTGCACACCTCAGCAATCCGATCAGACTTGAGCTAATTGAGTGCATATTGAATGCATGCAGACACGAGGCCGAGGATCAAACCTCGAGCCGCCCGATTCCCTTATTGCTAGCAGCTCTTCATAGCCGGTCTGTTCCACTAGGAATATGGTAAGCGTCCACATGCACACATCCAATTAGGTCGTGCAACTTCCTCTCAACAAATTCACTTTTGTGGTGCCAAAAGCACAGTGCACTTGCGGCGCAAGATATCGAAGTACGTTCTGATCCTGCGCTAAAACACTAGGGTTTAATGCACAATATACGGCGGTAGGGGTTAACATTAGGGCATGAGGCTTAATTTAAAATTAGGGTTCAAGGGGTTTGGGCGAAAACCAAAACTGCATTGGAGCACACGTGATGCCCCTAAGGTACTGCAGACGTGACACCGGCCAGCCATCGATCCAGATCGAAAGGTGATCGAGGAGCATCCGTGGGCCATACCTTAGATCGAATACGCATATATACATATATATAGAGAGAGAGAGCGACAATGACTCTGTGTGTGTGTACACAGGCAGTACATATTTATATAGTATAATTATAAAAATATATATATATATATATATATTATATATTTATTTAATTTAATTGTTATATGTATCCGAGTTATGCTGTTCTGCAGATTAGGATGCTTAGCAGCAGCGTGGTACCGTGGGGGTTGTCGCTCAATTCCGGCTTAATTGTTGCACACACACACATATATATATATATATATATACATTAATTGAGGAGTTGGACTTGGGAGTGTGGGGCTTTGGAATTAGTTAGATCGTTTTCGGAGGGTGTCAGTCCGCTGTATCGAGCAATGCGGTCTAACTTCATATCGGGTCAACGGTGCTTACTCTCTACATGCGTACACTCCTGCATTGGCCCCCTGTAACCCTATATAACACTCGGCTCTCTTATATTCAGTCTTCATTTGACAACCCGGTAAGTCCAGATGATCTGTAGACCCCCTAACCCCACAGGTCAATCCCAAATTAGTTTACCCAGAAGTCCGCGCAAAGGACCCAGGCACCAGAAGCCCACGCGGTAGGGCCCATCCAGGCCCCAGCAGACACGTGCCTGCAAGGATCGTTGGGGAAATTAAGGGATACACGTGGGTGGACTATCGTGTTTAGTGTAGGGTTTGCTAGTACATCTGATGATTCTACATAGGAATTGTCTCGATCGGATGTTTATAGGAATTGTCCCGATCGGGAGTACTGTCTAGTGGAATGGGGCTTAGAAAGATCGCCCTTGAAAATCTATACCATTGCACCTGAGTTGCCTTTAATCTGTTTCGGCGTCTGAGCTTTGCTTTGGTGCCTTGCCGATCCGCCGACGGGCCTCTCGCATCCCTTCGTTGATAGGCTTTAGATCCTCCTCGAGGAGGCTGATTGCAGAGAGCTTGTCTTCCAAGCTGCTCGCAGGATGAATCTTCTTATCCCACTCGCTCGGCATCACTTTCACATCATCCACATACTTCGTCAAAACCTGCCGGAGCTCCTCCGAGTAGGGCACAGATTTCAGCTCCTCGACCAAAGTCATCAGCTTCTTCTCTGCAGTGACGAGCCTCGACTCCAAAACCCGGCCCATCATCCAAAACACTAAACCCTGCAACTTAAATCCTGGACCCCTAGAAAATTGAACTACCCTATGCATATATATATATATATATGTGTATATACATTTTAATAAATCCCTGGTATTGAATAGTGGCCAGAGCACCCTTTGAAGATCTTCTGCAGTTTCTTGTCGGCTTGCTCTTCCGGGGTCAAGACCTGGGGCTTCGAGGGTTCAGGCTTGCGACAGTCACAGTTTAGTGTTTGTGGCCTTGGGAAACGACTTGAAAGGATATAGGTCTTGAGCTTTCCATATAATGCAAATCAAGTTACCTTGGCCTGTTTCTTGGGCTTGATTCGCAGTTCCTCGAAAGAGCCCATCGACTTGCCCAGCGTCTCAGCAAAATCCGTCAGAGCGGGCTCCAAGGACGCGCGGTCACCGTCGGCGACCACACCACTCATCTCGATCTGCCAGGATGCTGGGACTTGGGACAGGAAATATGGGGCCTGCGCTTAAGGGATGTTTGAGCTATGGGATATTGTAGTAGCTAAAGCTTGGACTCGCTTTGGGATCATTGAGCGTAGGACTCGGGGTGTGCAGAGGCTTTGGATATAAGAAGTACTGCAAAAAACTATCCGGCCTCAGTCTGACTGCTTCGAACCTTGCCACGATCGTTCATCGTGTCTTTCAAGACTCTGTAGCGCTTAGCAGGCTCGAAGTTTGGAGCTTGGGGGTGTGGAATTCCTTCTTGTCCTGCAGCAGAACCAGGGCAAACACACATAGGGATTTAGGCTTAGGTGTTTAGGGCTCTGCGACATCACAATACAAAGTCCACTGCACGACTCTTAAAGGCAAAGCACCTGCCGTAATGATCTTGATGAACTCCTCACCATCCTCTCCCGGGAACTCCTTGCGCAGCTGCATCATCGTCACCTCGATCGTTTGACGAGGTATGCATATATATATATATATGTTTAGGAATATATAATTATATAGGGTTTAGGGTCAGGGGTTTAGGGTTTTGGGGTTAAGGGTTTAAGGTTTAGGGTTCGGGACTAGGGTTTCGGGATTAGGGTTCGGGATTAGGGTTCGGGATTAGGGTGTAGGGTTTAAGGTTCGGGGTTTAGGGTATGTGGTTAAATTGCTGCATTCCAGGATCCGTTCTGTAACGGTCTTTGTTCTCGTCCAGAGACTCATCCTTGTACTTTTGCGAAGTCTGCACATCCAGCCCACCCTCGCGAAGGAGCTCCTCCTTCAAGAAGTTGAACCTCATAGCTGCAGTCAGGAGTCTTGGGGTTTGATTTAATACGGGATTGGAAATCCGCATATTTAAAGGATGGGTTTAATGTATATATATATATATATATATATGTATTTCATTGTGGTAGCTGCATGCTCGCATAGCAGGATGTATTATTCGGTCATTAAGATCTGTTGTTTTCAGCACAGCATGCAGTTCCCAAGACTAATTTCATACTGTATATCGATCGATCGGGATTCGAGGGTTTCTTTTTTTTTGTTGGGGGGGTGGCTTCGACGGTAAGGGCTTCACAGATCAATAAGCGTTGGGGGTTAGGGTTTCGGGCCGGGGGTAGGTTTAGGTGTTTAGGATCCAGTGAAGGCCTCGAAGGTACATAGATACGATATACTATCGGGTGCATGATTTAATAACGATCTAGTTTCATCTGTATTCTGGATCGGCTCTGGTTTTAACATCCAGGCAGCTATGGGGTCGCTATGGGCCCTGTATGGTTTTGTAGTGGGTGTCAATGCACTAGATCTTATGTGTCCCGTCTCACGGGCATATCGCATGGGTTCACGATGAGACAAGTCACTTGGCAGTTTCATCGGTCAGGAGCTTGAACTTAGCTGCCATCTCCGGGTTAACTTTGCACTGGCGGTTCAACCAGGAGAAGCCCCTCTTTCGCTCATCCCGGGGCATATCCTTGGCTAATGGTGCAATGCTATCAAAAAAAAAAGATCTGCATGCATGCATATACCATACGACCCAAGGCTCCGAGGGCTTCTGCATCGCCTCAAGCTGCTCCTTCTGCTCTGGCGTCATGACTCGGAGCCGCTGGTTTTTGGGTCTTGACTGCACATCTCCCGGATCTGAATTTCCTGAGAGGGAGCACATGCATGCAATTACGGGCTCATGTATATACCTTAAGTCCTCCGTTTCGGGGCTGCGGTCTACTTTTTCGGGCGGTCTACTTTTGTGAGGTCAGGTTTGATTCGTGGCTGCGGGATACATTTTTGGGCGGACTATTTATTTAAAGCTATTTGGGGTTTGTTGGGTTTCGAGGTTATATAGGCCCGGGTTCATAGCTGTTTGGGGTCTAGGTTTAGGCGGCTGTCCTTGCACCGCTAGGAATCTTAGGTTTAGAGTTTGATTTGGGATAGGGGTTATGGGCGACTTTTTATGTAGGTTTGGTGTCTTGGTTTAGGCGGCTGTCCCTGCGCCGCAGGTTTAAAATTTAGGGTCTAGGATCGAGTCTATAGCTGCTAGGAATTATAGGCTTTGGGTTTGGTCTCGGATAGGGGTTAGGGCGACTTTTCATATAGGGGGTGTTTGAGTCTAGGGTTTAGGCGGCTATATATGTATATATATATATATATATATATATATATATAGGGGGGGTTCATAGTCCACGGCTTATGCATACATGTCCGGGCTTTGTCGAAAGGACATGTTAATCGGGAACATCGGCTGCAGCCAGCATGCTAGTATAATTATATATATATATAGTGCAATCCCAGACTCCTGCCACGACGGCCGCGCTCGCCTCCTGGGGGGTCTTGGCCGATCCTTCATCATCCTGCACCGAGCATGCAGGCTATCCGGGAGCTTATGACCGGTCTGATAAGATCGACACTGCACCCTAAACCCTAATGTCCTAAAGCCTAGAATCCTAAACCCGAAACCCGTACCCTGGAACCCTCAAATTTTAAAGCCCTAAAGCCTTAAACACAAAGCCCTGAATCCTAACCCTCAAAGCCAAAACCCCTGAAGCATAATGACCGGTCTGATAAGATCGGCACTGCACCCTAAACCCTAAAGGCTTAATCGCTAGAATCCTAAACCCGAAGCCCGTACCCTGAAACCCTCAAACCCTAAAGCCCTAAACCCTAAAACCCAAAACCCTAAATCCTAATCCTCAAAGTCTAAAACCCTGAAGCCCCTGCAGGGGATGAACTAATCATAATTGTTACCCTGCAACCCTTTATTGTATATCTCGCTCTCTCATCTCAAAGTACCTCTGGCATATTTCAGGGCCCAGAGCCCCCAAGCTCCGACAAGCTTGAATTGGCAAGGTTTCGATAGACTTGCACCCCGGTTGTATGAATGCCCCGGCACCCTCCAGGGTCTAAACGCTCACCCCAAATCTCTCTCGACCTTAAGCTTTGATTCATTACACCTCTGATCTTATCACCCAAACCTTAATTGAATCCCTGCACCCTAATGCCCTCGATCGTTGCCTATACACAAAAACCATTGAGCCCCTGCATCCCAAACCCTTGAGTGCCTATGCCCTGGTACAGCCAAACTCTCAAGAAGCCCATGTCATACATAATAACCCAGCCTATATAAATCCAAGGCATGAAGTCGACCGAGCCACTGCACGATGTGGGACATGCACCGATTGGAGGCGCTGAACTATAAATATTTCAAAGGATCGATAATTAGGGTGGGGTTCCATAATAAAGGGTGTAGGGTTTATGGTCTAACATTTCGGAAAATTTGGGGCACCTGATTTACGGATGTCTATAAGAAGGATCCCACTATTTAGGGTACTATGCTCCCCTATTCTGGGAAATCCCCACATGGACTCGGAAGCCTGAGCCAGAACCCCTATATATATATAATATATTGTTCACGAATTTAATACCACATGCCGCAAGAACGTCTCGTGGTTTCCAATTAACAGATCACACCGCAGCACATGCATGCCAATGGCCAATCTCTGGAGCCATGATGGACATAGTGTATAGTCAGAGATAGCACTGTTGGCATTCACGACTACGTCGATTCTGGGGTACACTTCTCGATTTGTGGATCTTCATCTCACACATGTTAGGAATGGCTTCCAAGTGCTACTTCCTCGGGAACTACACACCTAGCAGGATATCGGTTTCCACTAGGCCACTCCTTGGAAAAGACTGCATTGTCCATGTGGTAGTTTGTGTTGATCTAGACACCTTGGGGATGGCTTCTAAGTGTTATTTCCTCTGAAAGTATACAACAGCAGGATATCAGTTTTCGCTGGGCAATTCCTAGGACCCAGACAGCATTGTCAATGTGCTACTTCGTGGTGATCTACACATGTTCGGGATGGTTTCCAAGTGTTACTTCCTGAGAAAGTATACAGCAGCAGGACATCGGTTTTCACTAGGCAATTCCTAGGACCCAGACAGCATTGTCAATGTGCTAGTTTGTGGTGATCTACACATGTTCGGGATGGCTTCCAAGTGTTACTTCCTGAGAAAGTATACAGCAGCAGGACATCGGTTTTCACTAGGCAAGACCTATCTTATAGGACCCAGACAGCACCGTACACACGTTATTGGGGATGGCATGGATCGAACATGCATGGTAGTTTCCTAGAAAATATATATATATATATATATATATATATATATATATATATATATTATATATATATATGTATATATATATATATATATATATATATATATATATATATAGCCGCGGCATTTCGGTTTCCACTACTAGGGAACAAGTATATATAAGGACCGTGCCAGCTTAGATTAATAATGAGGATCTATACATGCATGCATGCAATATACCGCAGTAGGATACCGAGTCTCACCAGGCAATATATACCCAGACAGCGTTGCTAGTTTCTACTGCATGCCACAGTCCGCCCCAAGAAGGATCTCGATATCTCGTGCTTTCCAAACAAATTTGTATACACATCGCGACTGTATTATTAAATTACTGTTATGGGCGTATTGGTACACTTCGTCTCGATTTGGCTCTGGGTTTAGGGTTTCGTCCTTCTAGCGGGATGTTCGCTTAGGAAGTGTGTTTTGAGGGGAATGCTTAAGCGGGGTTATATTTAAGGCTCCGACATATCGACGATCGATGATCAGAATAGCTCTTGCACATGCACACATTTTTCGGGATGGGTCGGGCTGGTATATACTGGGGAGAGTAACTTTAATTATGGATTAGCTAGGGTTCCCTGGTTCGAACTATACAGTGACCACAAATATGGAAATTGACGTACATGCACACGTTGTTCGGGATGGCTTGGATCAGGGCGGTAGCTATTGGATATGCAAAGCGAACGTAGATTGATCCACGTTACAAGGATATACCTATAAACATAACCTCGCAGGCATATATATACAGGTATTATAATATTAACAAAACTTAAATTATATATGCGATCGCTAAAGATGGACATGATGTGGACCCATTAAAGCCTCAACCTTATACACCCACGGGCCTTGCGGGGCGAAGACTTCTGGCGCACACGCC